CATGTCCTTAACAGTCTGAGGTCAGAGCCAGCAAACACATCCAACAGAGGTGATCCAAAATACGTAGTCCAGAGGGAAGTCCGATATCATACACTGTGGCAGTCTGAGACAAGAGGGCAAAGCAGAAACGAATATACCAAGGTAACAGTCCGGGTCAGAAACACAAGATACAAAACCGAAGGAAAGCTGGAGAGTCAGAGCTGCGGTCTAGAACAATCTGGCAGCGCCGTTGTGGGAGGACGCTGCCTAAATAGAGGTATAAACAATAAGGAGCAGGCGAAACTAATGCGAGTGATGAAGAACGTAAAAAGACCGAAACTAAGGTGAAAACAAAAACAGGAAGCAACGTCAAAATAAAAGCTGGACCGAATCATGACACATAGCCTGTTAATAGAGAGAGGTTAATCAGATCTAGTATGGATGTGTTGATTAGGGGCAAGCCGTCTTTGAGCAGCCTGGTCGGGATGGGGTCCAGGAGACATGTTGATGATTTAGATGAAGCAATTGTTGAGGTCAACTCAGAGAGATCTATAGGGGAGAAGTAGTCCAAGTATAAATGAGGTCTTACAGATGTTTCTAAAGCCATTGTAGTAGATGGCACATCTGCGAGAGCTGTGGGAGTGGTCCGACCAATATTTTCTCTAGCAGAGGGGAGAAGGTTTGACTGACTACAATAATAAAAGCCAGGCTCTTTGGGATGACAGGCTTTGTTATAAGCTTAAGATTTTGTGTCTAGAAGTAGCGCCAAAGATGGGAAAAGAGAGGGATTGTGTGATTAAATGAACAGGGCTTTAAAGTCAATTGCTACTTCAGTGCAATGGTTTGTGATCCTCACAACCTTAGGGCTTTGAGTCACTACACTGAGTCAGATGGATGGTGAGTGAATGAATATCTGAGCAAGAAGTTCTCTTTTATTAAATTTTTCCCCTCATACATATATATTGCTGGAGTATTATTGGTACTCCAGTAGAAAGGTCTCAATTATTGTTTTTTTAACCTTAAAAAAAGCTAATATCTTAAAAAATGTTTTCATCTTCGCTGCTTCATTACTGCTATTCATACCATTTCTGAATAATGCTCCCTCTAAATGCAACAATAGCATTCAAACAAAGAATGAAAAGTGTAAAAATGACTTGCACCCAAGAATTTAGGACTCCAGTAAAGGCTGCAGCTGCAATAACAGAAATTCTTCATCAACAGACTTCGTTATCACAGGTCACTTTGGTTTTATGAGGCACTGTTGAGCCCAAGACAGAAAATATTATCAGGATCAATTGTACCATTAATGGTGCAAAAGAAAATTAAATAAAATGGCAAGAAGGTACAGTGTAACTTTTAGTAACATACTGTTGGCAATTTGATTTTGTTTTTTAAGATAAACTGTGAAGTGTTATCTTCTACCTCTTAAGCTAAATAAACAATTTAAAATCCTACTAAATCAACTGAAAAGTGCACTATCACAAAGCTGAAATTAGGGCTGTTGTTTTTTAGTGTATGAACAGTTGACATGTTAATACCAGATTTTCACATGACAGCGATAATATAGCTTTTTGGGGTAGTGACTTTTTCCAGCCAAAACGAAACAGGACAAGGGGGAGCCTAAGGCCATCTGAGCTGTGCTGGATGAGTTAGGCTAACCATGTATGCTTTATTCAGTAACAGAGCTCCCAGGCTGGGCTCAGGATTGTGGATTAAGATCCTATCCATGGGGAACTGGTCAAAGACACAGAGCAGAGAAAACAAAACTAAGCCATGTTTAACACTTACACTAACCCAAATAACTGATACTGTTTTTGTTTTGAACATCAAATAAACCTTACGAGTTTACACCAGGCTAATCACACACAGCCTCATCAAACTAGACTAAAAACTGAACCTTGGTTGGCAGTTAGTTCTGACTGACCAGTTACAGTAGCATGGCAGGGAAACTTCATACAGATCAATCCCTGGCCTTTTCTGGGCTGAGAAATGAAAATCATGGAGGGTTTCCCCAAAATGTAAAATGGATCAGTGCCCTCGCCACATGAGGAGATGGAAATTAAAGCCCTGAAAAACAGGGACATGCTTCCTGCCTAAGGCAAAGATGTGTAGCACATGTGTGGTGTGGGCTACATAATATCAAATGTCTAAGGTTTGTCCTTGCATGTATTTGAACCCTGAACTGTTTGCATGATTGTATTTTTGCCAAAGACAAAGTTTGGCACTCTGACCAGTGAGGGTTTATGACATTTATGAATTTACAGAAATGGATATTGTAATTTCCACAGTACAGTCAAGGTGAGACACATCATTTGGCAGAGGGCCCATCCCACTCATCATCAGTGCACTAGCATATGTGCCACCAAAAAAAATTATTGCTGCTATACAGCCCGTTTTTGCAAAATGAGCTTTTGTTTGAAATGCATCCCACATCAACATCTAATTATAATGTTTCATCAGTTTTGGCTCCTTATCAAATCATAATAATGTTGACCATAAAACAGTTTTTGTTGCACTTGAAATCCATAACAAAACTTTCCATCAGCATTTGGCTCAGTCTAACTTAACATATTTTCCTACATATGGAGCCTAACAATTAATGTGTTTTTACAGTAAGCAGCTACAATGTGACAGAAATCTAAAACAACACAGAGACAATATTAGCTTCTGATGCTCAACGAATGTGACTCATAGCCTGAATAAACCCAGAAGGATCATTCCATGTGGTTCAAATAAATGGGGGGAGTTCCACTGCAGACAGTCAAGAAATAAAACTCGGTGTCTATGCTGAGTGATGAGTAATCTATAATCTAGTTGTCTATGTACAATAAGTACATGGTCAGTGTCCTTTATAGGTTCTAGGACTCCTGTGTATGTTTGTACATGCGTGTCGATCAAAGCTCACAAAAGGCTGGGGGTTAAAAAAAATAGGCAGGCCATAAATCCCGTGCTCATAAATCTAATCCCCCAACAATGAAAAATGCTTGATGAAGATGTCACTAAAACCTAGATAGAGTGTGCATCAGTGCAGTGGTGAGGAGCGGCCATTGTGCCAAGGCGGAGAGATGGGGATGAAGAGGAAGAGCTGATTCGGGTTTATCCTTGACGAATCCTTAGCCTTATGAGAACCTATGTTACACAGAAACCCCTCTGTGATGTACTTACAGGAAAATCTGTGGTCAGATAGAGAAAATTGGTTTTCCTGAAGCCCGGTGAATTTCACTCAGGTAGCGGCTGACATGTAAATATGTGAATGCATGACACACGTTCTATGTTAGAGATTCATGGGTGTGTGCATGTTTTTAGTAACCTGTTACAGCTAGCAATTTTCTGCATGAGCACATTTTTGTAACTTCTTGAAAGCAAGTGCTGTGAATATTTATGTGTCTACTGGCTTGATGGAAGCATGATTGAGGGCCCCTAATGGAAAGCATGTGGAAATGAGGTGTGTGTCATCCACTGGCAGCCACACCTCAGAAGGAAGTCAATCCTTCATGGGATTAGCTCCCCTCACTTTTCTGCTAAGCCTGCCGCTACTGAGAGCCACTTCTACTAATGAAACATTCCCTCTGTGTCATCAGTATTGAGCAGCACCTCAAACTGGGATAAGATGCCCTGCTGCTGCTTGGTTTACCCCTCTGAATTATAGGATAGAGTATAAAATTAAAGTGATGCTTGTGCAAAACAAGGACAGTTTATTAGAAAGGCATTATAGCTCACAGAATGCAGCTGTGAGATAAAGGAATGATTGTGCCAATGTAAAAATCGATGGATTTTATAACAAGCGGTCGTAACGTACAGTATGCGTTCATGAGCAGAAGCAGGGCAATGAGTTGGCTCTCACACACACAGTAGATAAACTGTCTTACTAAACATATTTGTGAGTAGCATGGCGTAAGCAGGTGGTCAGGGCTGTCCTATTGCCACTGAATACATCACAGAACCCCTGGCTGTAGACTCTAGTCTTTAGAAAAATAATAATAAAAAATTGGGGTTATTCAGTATCAAGTTTTGTTACCTGAAAGTCTGGGTTGGGGTTGGGGTAGGGCAGCCAGGCCGAACGCGAGTTCTCCTGATACTTGAAAGGCCCGTTGAAAACTTGTGATATGGCACTGAGGTTGAAGGCACACACCGCAGATGCAGCAATGCTGTTTCTGATTGTCAGGAACAGGAAAAAAAGGAAGAGAGATACAGCAAAATGGGAAGGGAGGATGAGGGAATGATGGATGACAAAAGGAGAAATAGAGAATTACTGGAAGAATAAATTTAGAAAAGAATGCCAGCACTAGCAAAGTATTCTGTTCTGATTTTGTTGGCATTTGTAAAGCAGACCTCTGAATGTTTGGATTGCTTTCATTAAACAATACAATCAAACACTAGGCAGACAGACACCAAAGAGAAAGGGTAAGTGATTGTCATTATCTGATTACAAATGCAGCTATAGGATGCAATTAAGCTGTTTGGTGTGTCTGATTAACTGTACAGATGTGAAGCGTGAAATACAGCTTTGACTTTTAAAGCTGTCAGTTTCAACAAGTGCCGTCTCCTCCCTCCAGAGAGAAAGTAAAGAATGAGAGTATTAACTCTCAACTCAAACTGTGAGACTTGGTCAATGTGAATTATAATCAAATGGGGCTGTTCATTAAAGTCTGTGTCTGCAGGGAGAAATGTCTCCAATACTTTTCAGAAGTCTTCCAGCAATGTAAATGCAACGAGTGTAAAGAATCGATCACTCAGCATTTAATAATGGACTGTGCATGTACATGCATGTGTTTGTGTTGTATGAAGAAGCAAAAAAAATGGAGAGATTAAAAGACAAAAGGACCGTGATGTTTGTAAAAACTAAAAATAGTAGTTTTCATCCATGAACACATCCTGTCTCTTACTGTACAGTATTTAGACCTTTAATTTAGTACTTTGTAGAAGGCCCTCTGGCAGCAATTATTGAATCTGAATCTTCTGGGGTTCATCTCTACAAGCTCTGCACACCTCGGTTTGGGCAGTGTACCTATTCTCCCTGGCAGGTCCTCTCAAGCTCCTTCAGATTGCATGGCAGCATCTTTGAACTGCCATCTTCAAATCTCTCCACAGATGTATTATGATGCCTAATGGGCCTTTCACACATTCAGCTCGGTGCCGTCATTCCGCTGCCACCGGGAACTGTCCCGTACCCAGGCCAGCTGGACGGCTGTCGGCCCAGGCTGCCTGGCCACAGTATACGTCTGTGTTGCCATTGCACAGCCTGAGTGTTATTCTTGCAGTGTATGTCATGGTGCCTCTTTGGCGTGACCAGAATGGACGTCAGCAGTAGGCACGCAGCACAGCAAACAGGGACTCGACAAACATAACTGTCATATTGGCTTCCTTTTATTTATTCATAATGTGCCACCGTCTCCTTCCTCTTTATTCTTTTTTTCTTAAAGATGGTGAGTCTCTTTCTTAGGCTTCCTGTTGCTCAAGTTTTCTCTCTGCCAGTCAGAATGTATTGACATAAACAGAAGGGTTGGGGGGCAGAGTAGTGCATTCTGGGACCTGCACCTAAGCAGGGCTAGGGATTACATGTTTCAGACCGGTTCAACCTGATAGCGATCCGTTTCTGAGGGAACACACAAACCCCAGTACAGTCTGGTTCCCAGTGGTAGTAGAATGACGGCATTAGAATGACCATTCTTGGTCATTTCCCCAAACAAGACTCTTCTTGCCCAGACATTGTTTGGTCAGAAATTGTAGGAAGAGTATTGATGGCTTCAAGCTTCTATTTCACAATTATTGTGGCCACTGTGCTCTTGGGGGCACTCAAAGCTTAGAAATGGTTTTACACCTTTGCCCTCTTCTACACCTCAACCCAACAGAGGTTACGTCAGAGGTCTGCAGGGAATTCTTGGACTTCATGGCTTGGTTTTCCTCCAAACATGCAGTGTGAATTGTGGTATCTTTTATACACAGGTGTGTGCTTTTCTAAACTATGTTCAATCAATTCAGCTTGTCACAGGTGGATTCCAGTTAAGTTCTAGACACAACTCAAAAAAAAAAGCATCTGTCCACAATGTGGAGAGCCAGAGAAAAGGGTCTGGATATTTTTGTAAATGAAACATTTCAGGTTTTAATTTTCTGTACATTTGCAAAAGGTCACGTCAAGTTAATGTGGAAGCAGTCGTGGTGTGCGATGCCAAGTAGAATGTAAATTCAAACTGTAAATTATACATGAAGCTATTTCATTAACACTACAAAGAATAAAACAAAAATCTGGTTGGTACATTTCATCTGATATCAATGCACTGCGATTTGCATCTCAATTTAGTTCATCCCTCACAGTGCAAATTATACAGACAATCAAACATACAAACAAAACTGGAGCGATGGTGGAAAATTACATTAAAGCATAAACTTTTACAAATTTGAATCAAACACTTCGATAACTGGCTTAATCTGATTCTTTTCAAAGACTGGATGCCCTTCAAAGAACTTGTGTGCACAGCATAAAAAATGTAATAAAGTAAAGAGTGAAGCAAAACAGAACGATTTGCACAACAATATGCAAAGAAATCACTAGAACATCACAGCAATCTGTCAAAGAAACTATAGCAAAGGTGGCTTGGGCATCTCATTAGGATACCTCCTGGGCACCTTCAACTTAAGGATTTTCAGAAATGCCCAACTGGCAGGCAACCCTGCAACAGTCTGGAGAGATTATAGATCTCATCTGGCCTGGAAACACCTTGACAGGCCCCAGGAGGAGCTGGGAAACACTGCTGAGGAGAGGTATATCTGGAATACCTGGCCCAACCAGTTCCCACTGGATGGATGTTTTAAAAACAAATCTAACTTCTGTCTTCAGTGTTCAAATATTTAAGCAGCAGCCAAACGGTGTTGTGTTTAAAAAGATAAAGCACTAAAACCATACTCTTATTATACTTAAAACTGGGACTAACTAGGTCTACACTGCTTAGAATTAGCTTTGGCTTCGTTCTAAAATATACAGTATGTAGCCATGAACTACTTACTTAAGACTACTTTACAGGGTTTTTGTTTTTACAAGAAGCCAGTTTATAGAGTTTTAACTTAATTATCACTTGAGGGTGACAGTTTACAAGGGTTTTATAATAAAGTGGTGTGGTCTGAAGTAAAGATGTTTGGCTAGTCCTATAAGGAAAAGTTTCTTTGTCCTCTGATGTAAAGTACTACAAGTCTGTGACTTGCTCACCTAAGAGGCTGTAGCTGCTGTCCTTCATCTCTGTCTGACATCAGTGACAAAATATAAAAAAAATGACTAAGAATCTTAAACGGTACATTTACCATAATTATTAAACTGATGGGAAGATGGGAAAGGAGGTGTAGCAACTGTACCTTTGGGTTTAGTCAGGTATGGTTGCAATTATTCTGGCTGAACAAAATCATACATTTTGCAAGTATGAAGGAAGTAAGGTATTTGCTATCAATGAACTTTGGAACAAAATCTCATATTACTCACACATTGGTAGTAAAAATGCCATAAAGCAGCTCCAGCTCAGGAAGGTAAAATGTTCCTTGCAGCTCGTTGTAGTTGAAGGGGATTTCTCCTGGCCTGGAACAGTTCAGCCTGGCCTTCATGAAGGTGGTCCATGTGTCCTCCAGGAGGAAGCGGCCACCAATGTCATTCTTACAGACACGCCCTGCGCGGGAAAACACCAGCCGGCCGCAGTCATGCTCTACTGCATTTTCCCGGAAGAAGAAGTAGGTGAAGTTGCCAATGTCGTAAGAAGAGACGAAGTTTGGTTCTGTTGAAAGGGACAAAGTATGTCAGAAAGAGAATGGAGATATACAAAGAAATATTGAAGAGAGCCAAGAGAGGGATGAAGAGGAGAGACATGATGAGGAAATACCAGTAGAAAAATATTTGAGGCTGTGGGAGTAAGTGTGAGACAGAATGGGTATGTGCTATGACTGATTGACTCCGAGTACGTGTGAGCATGTGGCCTACACAACAGCAGGAGATCAGGATTAATAACTACCGGCCATGTTATTAATGCCATTGTCTTGTAATAAGAAAACTAATTTTTCACTCAACAAACCTAAAGGTTCACATGAGAAATGACCAAAACAGGTGCAAAGCAATAACTCTCGCCCTATCTGAAACACGCAACCTCTCTCCACGTCACGGTTAAAGTGTTCATCTTTATGTATGACATTATTGAATCTAAACCGCACACTTTATCCCCACTGACAGTGATTCAATTCACCTTTAAATGAAATTGTTTTCCCCCCTCCTCCTTTCAACCCTCTTCTCTTCTGCACCTATGGAGGGCGATGCAGGGGGAGACAGAGGGAAAAAATCAATTCCCCATAAAATTTGTTATTAAACCTTTTCCCAGAAGGTTTCTGCAAAACAATGAACGTGGTGGTTTTTAATCTATTTTTTCATTTTAACTTAAATATGAATCAGATAAAAGTCACTTGCTGACAAGATACTGATTGACCTGCTCCATATGCTGGACACCTTAAGCTGTCTGTAGTTCTCCATTCTGCTCTGAGGTGGTTAGCGCTTCTGTGGATCTGAGCTTTCAGGGAAAAAGACATTGATTTCTGGAGAACTCACAATTTTGTGCTCCTTCAAGAAAAGGTGAGATAAATGTAAAGAGTTTCTTTAGAAATAATTGCTTTTACTGATAAAAGGCAACAGAACAATTATGGAATAATTAAGAAAAGTGAATCATTTTTCAGCATTTGCTACATTACTTTGTGCAACACAGTGATGATTTAAGAAATACAACCCTTCAACCAAGACAGACATATTCCAACTCCCATGTTAAATAAGTATGTGCCTATCTGCCAAGTAACCTTGAGTAAAATACTGGATCCCCACAAGCTGCAATGCTGATTAACAGCTGCAAAGAGGGAAAGAAAAAAGACAATTTTCTCCTTCTTTGTGTTTCTCTCTATGTAAAATGCCTATTTGTTTTTATGAAAACATTTTTACAGCCCATATTTACATTACATGTGTAACATTACATCAGTATCCATCTGGACCCCAAACTTTGGCATGGCCATACCGTTGAGCCACTTGGAGTTGTACTGGGCAGTGCGCAGCGGTGGCAGGCCGCCCAGGCTGCGGTAGATGGCGGGGTCTCGCCCAGAGAAGTCCATGGCCGTGGCAGCATAAAGCTCCCCGCTGGAGGTGATGAGGGCAGTGGAATTGTGGAGTGGGTTATAAGGACACCGAGCCATCCCGCTGATCTGATCATGGATCTCTGTCAGATTAGTCAGCTGAAACATAGATAGAGACAAAGATGAGGAAGGGGCTGAAAATGCAGTGCGAGGAGAAAATAGGTGCTGACAAGACCCAGACATTGCCTAGATACTATGAAAACAAAATTACTTTCTGCAACTGGAGTATCTTTTGAGTCAAGAAACTAAAATAATAAGAAGCCATGGACATAAGTTGCTATTTTCTGGTTTCTAAATAATGATCATTGTAGAGAAACCTGCATAACAATATAGGACACTGTATCAAAGGGCAGCATTAAAATGCAAAAAGGGGAAGTATGTTAATGTTTTGTTTGTTCCTGCCAAAATGCAAATGGTGCAGGATAAAAACGATACTTCATCTCATTATGCAGTGAAACACACACACACAGACATACATGAGCAAACCTTCAGGAGCAGGTAACAATCAGAGACACATTTAGAATCATTAACAATGTAATTCACAAAAACCAGAGCAGCTGCCCCAGTGTTAAGAAACCACCTGTTAAGAAAATTCATAAAACAGCTTTCTTAAATCAAGTTGATCCTTACTGCAGTGTTTCTTTGGTTTGGCTTCTGGTGTCTGTGCAGGACAACCAGCTGTTAGTCTGGGTATAACATTATTATACCACATCTTTGAGAAACCTCTCTGGGTTTAACAAAGGCTTGATGCAGCTTTCCCTTCCCCTCTTCCCTCTTCCTTCCTTTGCCTTTGAATATGAAGCCAACTCCAACTCCCTGCTTTTTAAAGATACTTTGCAGTATTACCTTAGATGAACCCTGACACACTGTACTGGTTTCTACAGAAAAACAACAACAACAACAACAACGACAAAAAACAAACAAACAAACAAAAAAAAAACAGGTCATAGCTCAGTGACTCAGCCTTGAATGCCAAAAAGGAGTCATACATTTTATAAATGCAAGATGTAATTATATTTCATGGTGCAAAAGTAAAAATAATAGACAGGGATTAACTCATGATTTGTGCTTTCATCCTAGTTCTGTGGGTAAATGCATGATACAAAGTAAAAAGACTGCACTGATCTCAGGTTTTTAAATCTACAAGAGATAATTACAGTAAATCCATTTGCAAATATTTTTCAATCAGCCAGGTTCTACATTTTTAACTCCTTGCTGTCTGAAGGCCACCTCAAGTGACAGCAAAAGACTCAGCCTGGAAGAATCCGAGCTCAGTGCTCCCTCTCTCCTTGCACATTTTCACTAACTGAATAATCTGTGGGCAGCTCTTCCACACAGGAGGCCAGACTCCATTCAGGACATGTGTTGGGAGAAACAAGCCAATTTCCTGAAACCGGTCAATTTGGATCAAGGGTTCTGTTAGTTCCTGCAGCCTTTGCTACACCCAAATCACAACAAAACAGAGGAACCCTGTCTAAGTTCTGCTGGCCTGAAATGAAAGCTTGGTATTGACTGGACAGGAATACACATTTTAAGGTCAACTGGGTTATTTAGAAAAACAAGAGGAGGAGTGATAACCAGGCAGGCTGGAGTAAAGCCATTGCATTTTGAGGAAGTAGACTGAAAGTTGTCTCTATGGTAGACCCAGCAGCTGTGTGAGCAGCACACTGAAGTGACACTGAATGCCTGTGATAGAGAATTTTGGGAAAGCAACAGCTCCCAGTTTAGACAGCCTGCTCAGAGAGCCAGCTGGGCGCTACTGTATATGTGGTGCTACTGAAACACTACTGTGGCTGTTGATTTTTTTTAAGAGACACACCATGACAAGAAATTTAGCCATGAGATCTGTTAGTGGATTATCAATGATACTGCACTGTGGACAGCAAACACGTGAATGTGAGCATAGTGTCATACTCAACTTCTTCTCCTTGATCTTACTGTAATCTTCATGGTGAACATAATTTATCAATCTCAAATTCTCAAATATAACCTTTACTAGCAAACAGCCCCATTACAAAACTCGACAAGTGGCAACAGCCAGATTTCTATTCCAGTATAGTGCATTGACAACAGGTGCCAATCAGGAGTTGACTAATCTGATAATTTATTTTCTCAGTTTATTTCTATTGCATTTTGATTTTGTTACTCCAGCTTTCACACCTCACCCTAGTATAAAACCTTTTGCAACATTTGAATATGCAGCATTTTGTCTTTTTGCATTTTACTTATTTAATGAATGCCTCTATGTACTGTATGTTTTATGCAAGTGCTGTATGTGCATGTAATCTTACTTTTACTTTTATTAGATTGACATAATTACATGAAATTGTTTAAACATAACTAAACAGAATTCAGATAGTCACAAGTTCCTCTATCACTGACTGACAATGAATAACAAGCTGATAAAAAGAGTGAAAGGTGTCTGGTTCTATGTTTTATGTAAAGACATCCGCCTTATTGAGAATTCTGAGAATGACTTTTATTACAACTTGGGTCCCTTTCCAAAAAACGTCTCCTATCACCATGATCACTAGCATTATCTGTAGCAACATGGCTTCATGTCAGCAAAATGAACAACTGTTTAATCTATAACCTCCGAGCACATCTTAAACTAATAGAATATTTGGCTCCCTCTTTGTTCATCCATCACTGCTGATAGTAAATCTGTCCAAGCAGAATTCAATTGCTGTTGCTGTGCCCAACCGGTGTTTCACATTAATGGACGTTCAGTGGGTAAATATGACAGGGTCTGATGAAATACTGGTATAATAATGTCGTGACATTTCAACGATATGTATTTTCACAGCAGTAAACAGTCATTATGAGCCAATGACCTTTGGATGCAGTGCGGTTGGACAAAAACAAATGCCATCATAATAGTAAACTCCTGTCTGCTTCTTGTCTGAAATCCCCAAACCCCACAGTGCAGGACACATATCTGATATGGCCCAGTCACCACTCTAAGGTAAGCGCAATATTCTGACATTTAAATGTTAGTCCATACTTAACATCAGTGGGCACTTGTCATCAATAACGCTGGGTAAAAGGGTTTCTTTTCTGACACTTCAGTTACAGAGAAACATGGTTATTAACTCTGTGCACCTTTGTTCTACACAGGTGGGTAATACATAAAAAAGTCTTGGTGCCACTGTGTCAAGAGCCTGCTGAAACACAATAGCAATGTACAATGAAGGGACTGACTAAACATCCCTTTAAAACATGGGCTTAAGAGCTACAAGGAATTTGTAGAACCATGAGGAGTGAAAACATGAAACTTCACAAAGATTAAATATAAAAGAAAATAAAAGGAAACATGATTTGATACAAAGACTAGAAGCAAAACAGTGGCAATGACTCATATAGAATAGAAAAGCAGCACAGATCAGATAAGGAGAGCAACACAATGATTATGGAGAGTAATGAGCTTGAGGCATTTTTATTGTAATGTTTAACAAGTCTGAGGTAACAAACTCTTAACCAAGTGTTAATAAGATGCATCTAATAATTACTGTATACCTAACTGCACACCAGGAGGCACAAATACGAGTTTAGAGTAATATCAAGATCATGGCTCTATCATGCCTTGATTAACTCTGTTGACCAACCTTGATCTTCACTTCTGACAATTCATTCAGTAACACTCCTGTAATATTGTGACTTACCCAGCATAAAATACCACTTTTATTTAATGATAGTGACATAGAGGTGTTCATGTTTTGATTTTCAATAAACATTGACTAACATGCTGTATGTGATTCATGTTACAGAAAAAGAAAAAACCTGCTGTCAGTTTAAAGTATGAACTACATCAATGGGAAGACTTTTCTAAAAGGGGCTGCCACAAAAGGTTTATATAACAAGCAAAGACAGTCAAAGGTGTTAGAAATGCTAGTATTCTATAGCTTTGCTAGTGTTTCTAGTTTTACTGTAAAAAAGTGCAAAACACCACTGAAAAATCTGTGAAACCCTCAAAGGGAAAATTAATGTCCAGTTTTCCAGATCCATCTTCTCGTGAGGAGCTGGAGAACATTGCTGGGGAGAGAGACATCTGGACAGTACTACTGAATTTGCTGCCCCCATGACCCGACCTCAGATAAGGGATTCATAATGGATGAATGTATGGAATGTTGGTTGGATGAATGAAATTCTTTATTCTGAGTCCTGTGATAGACTGGTGACCTGTCCAGGGTGTACCCTCCTTCTCGGCCAATGTGAGATTAGCTCCAGACCCCTATGACATTCTACAGGATGAGTGCTTACAGATAATGGATGGATGATTTCTTTATTCTGTCACTTCTCTTTAGTTTAAAGAAAAACCCAGACACACATCAACTCTGTTTAAACTGGAAAAACATCAGATAATGAAGAGAAAAGAGCAAAGTGTAGAATGACAATATATAAATTTCAAATATCAGTTCAAACTGAAATACATCATTTGCGACAACGATAAAGTGACAACATGGCGGTTTAAATAACATTCAGGGCTGCTATATTTTTACTTTTGCTGGAAATGAAAATGAAGCCACAGCTTTTAATGGTGCTGGACAGCTGAGTAGAAACTATAAACCTGTGTGTAACAACTCACCTGTTTACTGTGCAGAAAAGCATTTAGGTCAGAAGGCTATTGCAAGATCAAAATACCACATCAGAATGATTAAAGAATTAACGCTGCTGTGCCACATGTGTAAACTGCAGAGGCACATGTATCAGTTCCTCTGTTGTGATGGTCAGAACTATCTAATAAAGTCAAAGAAAAAGACTTACATTTTACATTTTTTAGTCAGTATGAGGCAGTCTGAAAGATATTTCAAGGTTAATAAAGTTAGCAATGCTGCGATGCTGAAGGAGACAGAGCTGAGTTCTGCCTCCTGATGTTCAAATGGCAGCCAAATCGTTTCAAAGAGAGCGAGCACCATGTCTTTGGCTTTGTTGTTATAGGGGAGATATTCTAAACTGTTTCTCGGTTATATGGTGTCTATAGAAATTATTTTGGATTCATCTTAATGCATGTAGGTCTCCCATAGATGTATTGAGGAGAACTGGATAGCATATTACAAGATGGTGCCTTTTCACTCCTGCGAAAGCTGCTCAGTGGGGCATAATGCAAAAAAAATTCATGCTTACGGATTTCAGCCATAAAATTTACCCTGATGTTCTGTACACTTCTGTGTTTTGGGGCCCATAGAGCATGCACACTTGTGTCAGGCTGAGACTCCCACTGTTCAAGCTGGCTGACTTCTGGTTGGCTCCACGCATGCTTGAATGAGATAAAATAAAAATATCCTATGCCTCAGCTAGACTTTCCTAATGATACTGAACCCAGTGAAGCAAATTCTGATAATAAAAAGAGTCATTTTGCAGGTTTTGAGACATTTAGAAAAATGTAATTACAATTTTACAACCTCTGCTTTTTTGATGATTCTCCATGTAAAATAAATAATTAGATAAATTACTTAAATTTTGGGGGCTTAAATTAGACCAGGTAGTTTACATGGCAATTTCAATCAAAACAGCTGGCAATAATCAACTCTTCTGTAGTTCATACCGTTCGGTTAGTGCAGATGGGGGTGAAGGCGTTGGTTCCACAAGTAAACAGCCTGTTCCCATTCACCAGCAGCACCCTGATGTAGTTCTGGCACTCCTCCTGTGGAAGCACACCAGCAAACACACTTATCACTGTTAGCAGTTAGCAGCAGCACCATTATCTATCCATTGACAAGCAGCAGCATTAGGCAGAGGAACAAAATTACATTTTATGCCAGTAAATGAGACAAACACCTGCAGCAGTGGGAGGGCTATGCTGAAACGTGACCAAGCTTGACAGAGTCAAATCAAGGCTAATGCCCATGCAGCTTACCAATGTCACATCTTAATTCAACAGGGACCAGATTTAGAGAGGCATCTGAATGAGGTGTTGCACAGATAAATGCAGTGGGTGTGAAAGCAGACCACCCGGAATTAGTTCAGAAAATTGCACTGGTTTTGTTGACCGGTAAAAAAAAAAAAAAAGCTAAATTAAAGTGTAGCCTCTCATATACTTCATGTACTTGTTTCTTTTTAGCTGACTCTTCACATTAATCAGATCAAGCAACTTTAAATTATGGTGAATACACTGTGTGCTCACCACTCTTTTCTTGGCTTGCTCCTTCTCTGAGACTTTGGCTTGGGTTTCTGTCGCTCAACACTTTCTTAGACGTGCCTGACAAATAAAGCGGGACCGACGGAGGGAATGAGTGATTGAATGACTGACTGCTGCTGAACATCATCAGCTTCCATTAGGCTTGCAGGGAGATTTGCTGGGGATTTCCATCAACAAAGCTCACAGTAAATGTAACAGAGTATTCATGTACAGTAAGAGGGGGCAATTTTTTGTCCACTGAAAAGGTAATAAACTCACACTCCCCTCCATCTGACAGGGGCACAGGCTAGGTGAGTAAGAAATTTAAACACTTGTAAAACTGCTGTTGTCTGAGTCACTTGAAGTGCCCAGGGCGACACCCCTGCCTGTCCCTCTCTCAGGGGTCTGATTTAGGAGTGGAGGGCACAGCAGGAAAGATTTGAGGAGGGACTTTTATTTCATTGTTTATTTTATTTCTGTTTAACCTTCATTTTTCCAGGGTAATCCCACTGAAATTTACAACCTTTTTTTCAAAGCAGCCCTGGCACGAAAGCAGCATCAAACATTAGACAAAAAGTGCAAAGCCAAAAACACTCAGCAACATACAAATAGAGCCAAAAACAATAACAAGAGAAGGATGAATAACACACCAGTGAATTTGCCATCCTCTTAAACTTTGGCAGAGATACCAAAATTCTTAATTTGATTTCCCATTATTTCATATGGCTGGAGCAGAAATCATAAAGGCTTTCTTTCCCATCTCAGTCCGAACCCTGGGAGCAAAAAGCTGATATGTATCTGGTGATCTAAGATTATATAGAAGGCAGTAGAGGAGTTCTGTGAAATTAATTTGTAAAGCTATTGGGGGAATTTATCTGTGATAGCTTTGTATATAAAAATGTACCAATGACTCAACAGCACACAACGAGATATGGTCAGCCCGCCATGGAGTATAGAACACAGTGCTGCGTTAGTGGTTTTAAGTTAGCAACAAAACCTAATGTACTGTGATAAATAGTATCCAGCTTATTAAGATATTGCACTGGAGCGTTCATGTACAGCAAGTCACTGTACTCAGGGACTGGCAAGAAGGCTTCCAATGGAAAACAAGACTCGTGGCTGAAATAAAACTCTAAATTCAGCCTGAGTTTCTTTACCAGTTTGTCACTGTTGTTTAAAAGAGGGACCTTCATGAAGCCATACTCTCAGGTACACTGTTTATAATGTGTAATAAGATTTTTTTTTTCTTATCAACAGTGTCTGTTGGACTCATTTTCTGGTATGAAGCACATGGGCATGTTTATGTAGGTGCCTCTTCAAAACAGAAGATGTGTATATGTTAGGTAATTACACTTGTTATGTATGCCTATATATCCATGGTGGTTGTTCAGCTTTTTATGTACTATATGCTTGTGTGTGCATGGATGGCTGCAGAAATGGGGTTAGGTTCTATATTGTACATAATTCAATTCTTCTCTCACATTTGTTTCTATGGTAAATAAGAGCATATTTAATATTTGCCCAGCCTCACAGTCTTGACTTGTTTATGAAAACTTCCTGACAAATGTACCACGTCTGTACTGTAATACAGAGGCTGTTATGCTTGGCTCTCACATTACAAAACAAAACAAAGGCAGCAATCAAATCCTGTCAGGTCAATTTAACTCTCCTTTCCCCTCCCAGTTGAAATAAATCAAATACACAGAGAAGAGGGGATGCATGCATTAGAAAAAAAAACAAAACAAAACAATACAATCACTTGTAAATTCACTCATAGCAAAGGCACGGTATCTGTGTAATAGCATAAGCGATGGTATATTGCTGTGCGCTGAGGTAGGTAATAAACCATCGAAAGCCCTGTCAGCTGCGGGAGAATGAAGTCTTTTAATGCTATCCTTAGTGTACATCACAGGAGCTGATCCTCAGAAGGGAAAAGTGAGCAAAACAATTCGACTCTGAAAGACTGAGGTAGCTTTGGTCTGTAATTGACAACAGCTATCTTGTGCTGGCCAGCCCATGCATGCCTATTATGGGTCCCTAACCACCTTTCACAGAAGGATAAATACGCAGTGGTACACACACACACACACACACACACACACACACACACACACACACACAGGGCTCTGCGCTGCGCAGTTCAACTGGGCTGGGCAGTTCAACTATAAGTCAAGTTCAACTCTAAATCATTTCTTTGGTATAAAGAATACACCAGCTGACCACATAGAAAAAACATACACTTGTGCACAAAAAGAAGCTACAAAAACAATAGGAACTCCTTTACTCAAAACCTATAAATAAGATTTAAAGTGGTTAGGGAGCTTTTTACTTCACAGCAAATTGATTTAAATCATCTCTGAGGCCAATTCTACATACAAAGCAAGAGCTTTACCTTAAGTCTACAGTACAGTATATGTTAAAGGATTATAAACAGGACATAGAGTTACAGTATGTATTATATAAGGACATATGTTGGCATTTTCTGTCACACATTCTCAAACTTAATGGCATAAGAATTGCTGGAATACCTTTGTTTTTGACTGTACTAGAACCAACAGGCTGAGTTAGTCACAGCCAAACCTAATTCTTGAAGTATTTTTACAGATATTTCTTACAAAACCAACAATGAAAGTTGTTTTTCTCAATAGTGACAAGCGCCTTATAAAGTAATATAACAATGTGACATTTCAAATGCTCAGGCGTCACTTAAGCCCACCTCAGATTTTCCACGGCTGAAGCACGCTCCCTTTGTGAACTCATCGCAGTGCCACTCAGCCTCCTGCAGAGAGAGAGAAAAGCTGTGTCAGGCTCCTAGTAAACCATCAAGAAGAAGCAAACATCAGAACCATTCTGCACCGTATCACTATGAACCACTTTAAAAACCACTCAGGGAACACCAGTACAACAATGCCTGGCTCTTGAATGTCACTAAATCCCCATCTTCTTGAAGTCAATTTGATGTCTGGTCACTTTGTCTGAGACAGCCTGGCAATAAAAGTGCCACTGAAAACACAGGTAGAAAATGTAAGACAAATCCATAACAGTGCTGAGTTTGATTGGCTGTAGCGCTGATTTCCAGCTATTCTTTGATTTGGGTGGAAGGAATTAATCAAAATAGAAGTGAAGACATCAGTCTGACAAATACACATCACCCATACAGATTTACAGCACAGTACTGTACACAGAGGTTCATAAGCCACGTTGAATACAGACAGAATCCAATTAAAGTGCATGCCAAGTAGATACCTCAAGAAACAAGCGCCAAACATGCACAGAGGCAAATGTCCATTTGATTTATATGTGAGGGAAAAGGAGGGATCTTAAGTCATAACAGGCGAGTCCCTAAAGTAGCACATCAACATGATTTACATGTAAGAAAGCAAGAGAGAGAAGAAAAAGAAGATTAGACTTTTCTCCTCCTAGTGGACTCCCAATTTCTACCACTTAAATTAAGTGTGACCTCTTGGGGGGGGGGGGAATATATAAATATATATATTCACAAAATGAGAGCTAGCCTCAGGACAGCACCGGGCCACTAAGACATTAGCACTTGCGACAGGGAAAATTAGCTGTCACTGCCACTAGCTCCATGAGACTGGTAGAGAGAGCTTGGCTGGTGCAATAAGACACTTAAGTCACAAAAAGTCTCCAAAAGTAAGAGCATTCATATTTTTTCATGGCCACAAACATACAGCTTTCCTGCAGTAATATCCTGGCTAGTGGCCAGAGGTGCAAGATTTCACTTTCTGTGGGAATATAGTAAATACTGCTAACTGAATGCGAATATTAGATTTCAGTTTAATATGAGGACCGTTTTATGACCAGACATAAGGAGAAAAGAAATCTGAACCCTCTCAGCATTTAGGAGAACTTTGTTCAAGGCTCTAGGAGTTTCCTCTGTGTATTTTATTACAAAGCATCACTTTCCTCCTCCTTGACCTTCCTACTGGGAGGCGTTTAAATATCCGTATGTACACATTCATATATAAATGTGCACATAGGCAGTAACAGGAGCAGCAACAGAGAGAAGAGAACTCAGGGTGTGTGGTACTATTCAGTGAGGGTAAGATAGAGTATTAACGGTTACTGGCTTCTCATTCAACTTTTCTTCTGCGTGTGTGTGTGTGTGTGTGTCAGTTCATATTCCAGGTCAAGGCAGTTTATTCTGGGGCTATGAAACCACCACAGACACAAACCACACACATCAGCACAAGCAGCAGAGCCTGCACGCACAGCACCACAGCTGGTCCCAGCTGAACTGAATGTAGGTGCTGAAAAGTGCTTTGCTAATCGCATGGGGGGAGAAAACTGATTGTCTTCAAAACCTTACTCACTCATGTTCATTGTAAAAATCAATAATAATACAATGCAAAATTACAACTTGAAATCACATTAACAGAAGAAAAATGGTTGCTTTTATCATTATGGGGCAATTACCAGATTTATCATCATCCAGCATAGATCAAATCAGTTTTTTTGAAAATAGCTCTAAGGCATCAACTTTATGGCTAGTGAAGAAAGTGATGTTCATAAGACTGTAAGCGAGGGATGTGCTGGCATCATTGACCACTAAAGCCACTCCATCTGACTACCAGACCTCAAATAGTCCAGAGCAAAGAACAGAATCACAGCCATGCAAAGGCAAGCACCATTCTCATTAAGAACCATTAAAAGCTCATTACCATGCTATTGTTCAACCACTGTGCTCCTTAGATGAATCTGTCCTGAAGTGAAATATGTCTGGAGCGTGCTGCTATTAAATAATTTTTGGCTTCATAAGAGGAGAGTCCACGACAAAAACCTTTTTCTCTGGCTTTGTCACCAAGAAACAGACTAAAACAGAAGCTTAGAGGTGAAGTAAAAGAGATGAGAGAATAAGAAGAGGCCAGGATCTAATTTAGCCAGCTGTGCATGGTGGTCAATTTGCCAATAAATAAATGAAAATAAATAAAAAAGGGACTAGTACCTAAAGTTGTCAAATAAATGTAGTGGAGTTAAAAAGTACAATATGATAAAGTAAAATGTAATGAAGTCAAGTTATGAAGTAGCAGGAAATGAAAGTATAAAATTACAGTAATTGAAGTACAGGTACCTCAAACTGTACTTAGGTACAGTATTTGAGTAAATGTCCATGCAGATTCTCAGTCATCCAGGTCATAGTAAGCTGAAAAAACCTTTAGGTTTTTAGGTTGAAGACCTCTTGGATGAGGGGTGAAACATCTTCAACATAAAAACCTAGTCCTGTTGATTTTTCTAAGTTTTTTCAGCTTACTTGAGTAAATGTACTTAGTTACTGTCCAGCTCTGGATGCAAAACAGTGAAAGCATTTGGGTAATAATTCTTTTGTTGTTGGTTTCTACTCTGAATGGACAAAGGTCTAAAATTTTTTTTAGCAGCATTGCTGACCTCCCAGAGCAGAAATGATGTGATCTTATTATTACCTAAAGATATACTGCCTAAAACTACAAAAAACCAGATTAGAACACCAGTTGTAATAAACCAAAATAATTCTTTAGGTATGATAAAGAAACCGACTAAGATGAAGAAATTCAGAGAGAGGCAGAGGAAATTTGGCAGACTCAGTAACAGGCATTTGTTGTTTGAGAAGCTGAAGAAAAACTCCTGAGATAAGCTATGTTGTGTGTGTCCGCCTCCTCGCGTCTGTCCCTTGTAATGGGTACAATCCTCAGAGATGAACCACTGTACTCAAGTCTTCACACTAAGAGGTTATTGTCACCACGAGGTGGGTGAAGAAGAGACACCAAGAAAGCGAGTGGGCAGGAAGTGACATAGACAGAGGAAAGGGCAGAAAAGGAAAAATCAGAACCAAACAGAAAAAAACAAAAAACCAAAAGAGCAGAGTCCAACTCAGAAGTCAGCCAGAAGGGAGACAGTGTGGGCAGACTGGAGTGGTCAGAGAGTGAGGAGCTGAATTCCAAAACAGCACTGTATCCAGACATGATATTGAATACATTTTGCATAAGGAGGATCCAGAGAACACGCTGACAGCTGTCTAGATTTGACTGGCTGTGTGTGTCATTACAAGGAGACAGTGGGCTGAGAGTGAGAGCTGGACAAATCCTGACAGGGAAATCTAATCCATTTTATGAATAGCTCATATTACCTTTTGATGTGCTTGCACAATATTTACTATTCAGACTGATGTCTGCTGATGTAAGCTGCTGAAAGATTTACAGATAAAATTGGTCTTTATATCATGTCTGAGCAAGTGTGTAGGTCTAAGCCACTGTGCATACAGTATAATCAAATCCTTATAGAATGTAAGTCAGTCTTTACGTGCCCCCCACTAAGCCTCTTACTACTTAGAGTCAAGACCCTTTTGCTTAAACATGCCATCAAACCCCATGATATCACAGAGTGTAGTAGTATCTCTATCTCCAATCACACTGATTTTTATTCCATGCATTTAAATGGCCAAGTTAGCAAATTCTATTAACGGAATTAGCAATGCTTCGAGAACTGTAGAGGACAGTTTGTTAGTAACCGATTAGCAGGGCTAATTGTCTTTCTGACAAAGTGTAATTACAAAAGACAGGCCTATGAAATACAACGTGAGGAAAGAGGAAACATCATTTTTTTTGGAGTCCCCATTCTTTTTAATGGTACCTCAGCACAGGGGGAAGCAAAGAAAAATGGAGACTCAATATACATCTCAACTCCATACAGTGGTCTATTGCCAAAGGGAACTGTCATGGATAGTGTTTTCATGTGCAGGAGCTGAGACCGAGGCTGGAGTGAACAGCCACTATTTTCTCCTCATTTAGTGCTGCAGTGAATGGTGAACAGTGCCGCTGATCCTCCTCATCCCAGGGTTTATTGACTGATACTTTGCCACAGAGTTTCTGTTGAAACGTGGCCTCACCATCTGCATCTTGTTTGGCTTTAGCATGGAAACAGAAGGATAATATAGGATTTTTAGAGGAGGTGTTTGTTTTAAATTTCTTCTTACATTAACACATTTGCTTAACTTCTGGTAAATCCAATTCTTTTGGTGCTTGCAATTTAGACACTTTCTGGACCAAGTTGACAGTGTGTAGCTTGTTATTGGACTAGGTGTGCAAGGGCAAAGGTGGAGCTAAAAATAGGCAGGTGTTACTGTATTAGGGGTTTTCAACATAATCAAAAGATATTATTTGGGGAGCTCATGGACAGGCAGAAACACAAGGCTGAGAGGTACATCAAGCCATTCATCAACCTTGGCAACACAATGGGCAACTGAAAGTAATGCAAAATGCAGAAGGCCCAATTCATCAGCGTGTGCCTCCTCTCTGCACTGGGCCATGGAAGGTGGATAATGGAGATGCCAGTGTTGATTCATCCACCCAAATTTGGCAGCAGCAGAGGGCAGGGAGCTGAATGAGGGACAGAGGGAGCAGAAGGACAATGCTGAACAGATGTGAGATATAAACTGGAATTCACCTGTAGATGATACAGTACTTTTATAGCTAATTCTGTGGCTGTGGTAGACCTACATGTCCCATTAGTCGTGCATGCTGAGTTAAGTGCTTGTCTTTATTTTAAATTTTTTTTACGTAACCTGCACAAATTTGCAATATCCACCCTTTGTTCTTGACGGTGTTTTCCTGGTTATCAAAGCTCAGGGAACAGGAGGAACTCAGGCTGTAGGTATGCTGCTGAAAAAACAAGTGTGGTAATGTAATTTTCTACTTGCACTGTGTATGGTGCTGAACGTGTCACCCTGTCATCTAAACAGTTCCCCAGATAAACCTTTTTATCTCTTCTAAGTGACTGAACCCTTTCTTCTCTCAGGACAAACTGAAGAACAAATCCAAGGGGCGGTCCCAGAAGAGACATGGGTAATGAAAGTGTAAAAGTTCTCAAAAGGCTGAAAGGAAACTCCTAACAAAAGGTCCTCCTTCTCTCCAACATTTGATGTTCTTGGCTTTTTCTATTTGTATTACAACCAAGTAAAGATGACATTTACCGAGGAGATTTTGGTTGCTGGGGCCCAGCCTCTATCGATCTCCAGGTCTGAACTCAGTATGTGCAATACAGAGGGTTACACCCATTGTGTTAAGCTACCAACCCAAGTGTCAGTACTTTCTAATCCTTTCATAACACAACCACCGGGTATTAAGAGTTCACTTTCTGCCTCACAGAACGCTTGAATACCACTTACTGGTTGAAGAAAAAGTGGGTGGGATTTTGCCCCCATGCAGCTGACATGTTTCACGTGTACAAATAGTAATGATATCCACCTCTTTAGCATAATGTAGGCTGATTGTATTACACTGGCTGTAAACCTTATACCCTAACAAACCATATACAACCTTGCTCCTAGCACTGCCAGCCATGCAAGAACAAATCACTGCCATCGGGCATTATCTGACAGGGCTGATGCATGTCGACGGCTTCAAATCACAAAGACAAGTGTAGGTGTAGCTTCTGACTTGTTTTTCTTCTGCAAGGAAGGAAAAGAAAAGAACTTTACGAAGCACTTTTGAACATCAGTACAATAAAACACCCAGAGCTATTATTGACCATTTGTATATTATTGATTATTTACTATGGCACAAAATCTATTTGATCAATCAGCAAACTAAATATGAGTGGGGAAACTGTGCCAAGGGGAAAAGTCATTCAAATCTTTGATTACCAGCAACAGTAAGAATGACAAATGGATTAAACCTAGCCATAGAAGCAACCAAAATGCTGGGCAATTAATTTTCTATTATATGACAGAATGAAAAACAAGGAAAAAGATTTTAGAAGAAGGTGAATGGAAGAATAGCTCCACAAATGTGAGCAGTTGATCTTCTCCTTCCCCCTGACTCTATAGCCCCAGTCCAGTCAGGTGCAAAGCAGGGACTAGTTCTCAGGTCAACTTAAATTGTCCCCAGGCCTTGGAAGGGATTACCAGGTTCCATTCTATCAAAAGAGGATATTTTGGAGACGAGGGGCTGATTGGGTCAGTGGAGTCTCCTCGCTGTTTTTGCAGAGCCCACTGAGCACAGGATCAAATAAAGGAGGAGGGATTGGGTGCATAGATGCCACAGAGCATCTTTAAAAAGCATCTGTTTCCCAGTGAGCTGTCACAAAAGATCGGCTCTGCATGAGTCCGCGTCTTTTTCTGCATGCTGCCTTGCTGCTCTTTGAGTTTTTTGTGTGTACTGCCATCCCCTCCTTTCTAGCCAATATGTTTAGTCAGACTTCATACATCTCTCCGTTTTTCTCATTTTCCCTTTCCAGCCGGATTTGTATCAACACCACTCCCTCAGTTCTCCCCTTTGTTCCATCCAGTTATTCTCACTTACGTTTTTTTTCTTTCCCTCCTTATCCTCTCCCCTGGTTTTCCATGGTGTAAACAGCAAACATCAAGAATTGTCTAGCCATCAAAGAAGCCTTGTTGCTAGCACCTAGAAATAAACCCTACAATGTCAGTTTTTGTATTGTAACAGTGGGTTGCAAAATGCTTAGCTCGACAGGAGGGATGTGAACTCATACAAAGGGTAAAAAAAAGAATAATGATCTGGGAGAAGGGGATGAAAGGCAAACTGGAAAAAGCATCATTTCCACCTTGAGCTTATTGCTGTTTATGCATGTTTTGTGCAAATTTTACATCTCACAGGCAGAATGTAAAGCTGTCAACTTAGCATATCTAACTTCTGTTTAGCATGTCAGAACATTTGACTGTGGATTATTATTATTTTTTTTTACAGTGCTGCTATGAAAAGAGTTTAACCAAAATAGTAGCATCATATTACAAATATAGCATGCTAATACCATAGGTAATATGGAAAAGTTTGAACAAGGTATAGCAGTAGAAAACATCATATACAGTCCAAACTGAACTTAAAAATGAAGGGTATTAACATAGACTTGACTTTATATAAATACTCTTACCTTCCTCTGTGAATCAACCCACAGCAAAACCTGCTGTCACTCCACCAGATGGGAAGTTGTTGTGACATGTGAAATGCTAAACCATTTTACTGTAACAGCTTAAACTTGTGGGAGCTGGCAGCACCGATACGAATATTGCGTGATGTTTTGTTGGAGGCAGGCAGTGCTCTGGACGCCTGTGCCAGCGTAACAGTCATCTCAGTAGACAGCAGGAGTACATATTCACCCAGAAAAGAGAGCGAGTCAGACTGAGGGAGAAATCAGAAAGACAAAATGGAGAATTACCACTCACCTGGATCAGTGTCAGGTCTTCCAGACTGAGCCTGAAGAGGTGATTTCTGTAAGATATAAAATAACATGTCAGTGGGGGCACTGTTTTTTTATTCTACTCATTCTTCTTCCTTGATAAAGCCTGGTGCCTACATTGCCAATTCGACCTTTACAGTTTGGTTAGAGGTGCAGGCATGTTATTCTAGTAGTATGTTGAAATTATGCCACTTTACATGTTTTAAAATAATTTTCAGGTGAGAAAGTAACCATATAGGTTTAGAATATGTGGTCAGTCTATCCAGGTCACACCAATTTGGAAATTTGCTGACATATGTGGAGATTTGAGTAAAAGATTTAGACCAATTTGTCAGCAAGGCCGCTGATGTTCTCACTACACACTGAGCAGTGGGAACTCCCAAGTATGGGAGGCTGAAATTGGTGTACTTTGTATTAACAACAGCTGAGGAGCAGGTACAGAGGTCTGGTAAGCCGATATTTTTTTTTAACTCTACAGCTGCAGATTTTTCTCAGTGAGGTAATTTATCATTTTTCTGCACTGCAGCTAATGATGGAGCTGTAGGTTTCTCCAACCTGTAATTAGGTAAAAAAAAAAAAACATGCTACTGTAAAAGTCTTTATGATCCTGTCTTGTAGAGTTTTGTGTTTGAGAAACAGTGAGTGTTACGACGTGCACAAGGACTGGTGGACCCCAATAAGCAGCCACCCGGAATCAGAGTGAAGATGAAGATTTATTATAGATAAGGGAAGCGGGGGAAGACTGAGCTGTAGGTAGCCTGATGTGATAGGAGAGGAGATGAAGGAAGTTCTCCAGGCTGAAGGCAGAGGAGAGGTGGTCAGAGGTTGATGGAGCGTAGTAGAGGGGTAGGACGGAGACAGGAGTACTGGTGAAGTCAGGTGAGTGTCGTGGATGTAGGTGGTCACTCAGGGCCACACGAATGAGTGCATAACACAGCACAGGACGAAGGAGAAGGACACCGCACATGGAAGCGACAAGTAGCCAAAATATCAAGAGTCTCTTACTGGTGACAACAGTTAATGGAACAGCACTAAACCAGGACATCCCCAGTTACAACAGGCAAGGACAGGCACAGCACATGGAAGCTGCAGGTAGCCAGGGCTGTTGGAGTCTCCTCACAGGTGAGGACTGAACGACACGCGTTGACAGGGGATCGGGAAATACAGTGATTATCATATAAGGGTCGGGTGACTAACAGATAACTAACTATAGGCGATACTGAAGTAATAACCACAACTCAAAACAACTAAACGCACATTGAAAACAAACCGGGAAACGTAGAACCAGTCGTGGCGCAAACTCGGAGCGTGTCAGCGTGAATGTCAATAAACCAGCAGGGAACAAACAGGGTGTAAATATATGGAACAAGACCTGGAGGTAATGAGCAGCAGGTGAATGGAATGATGGCTGATTAAGGTGATGTGGCGGAACGGAAGGGAGAGATGGAGAAAAACAACCCCACAACAGGAAGCAGAGTCCATGGCAGAGAGAGAGAGAGACTGAGAGAAAACCAAAAGCTGGTGGTGAAACCTCACTCTAATAAGTGTCAATTCTGCCTTTTTAAATTTGCAAGATACAATTAAAACTGTGGCACTGACATTTCCAACTTTTCAAAAAACACTAGGTCCTAATGATTACCCGCTCAAGAGTAATTCTGTATACATAATAGGAATGTCCCAGACTGTCTACTAAAACATTTATGTGCCATTATCACAGTGAGATCACATGAAACGCGACAATTAGTGAAAAGGGGTTAACTTTTGTGATTTTTTTCCCTTTGAGACATTCCTCATTATCTATACAGTATAGGTTTTATTCCAGTGGGCCAATCACAATATCACCAAATAAATAAAACAAGTAAATGTTACATTTTGTAGCATTTGGTAAATTTTGTGCAATTTCATATAAATTATTTTTTTATATATATATTTTTTGGTTAAAACTCTTTACCATGTAGATTTTTTGCAAAAGCTTTAACAATTCTCAGACACACACACACCCACACACTTGTACTCACATACACATACAGGCAAACACTTTCACAGAGATCTATCAGTCTCCTGAAATGTGGCCATCAGCCAGGATTCGGTGTGGCCACAACTTCCGGTGTGGAACCCTCTTTCCTCCCATTATCACTCATACAGCTAACCCAGCCTGCAGCCACATCACATTTACACTCAGCAGCTGTTGTTTCCTGACAATTTGTGCCAAATCTCCTTGATTTGTTTGATTGTGGCAAATAACTTGTGCCCATAGGAATGGACTGTACAAACATGACATCTGTATTATATTACGTTATAATCTATTATTGCAAATTTGCCAGCAGTTTCAATGGGAACTCATTCACCTTTTCAACCTCAGCTTTTTATCCATGCACACACACTTTTACTGATTAGCCTGTTCCATCTTCCTTTTCCTGCAGTGCATTAGTAAATTCCCTGGGCCCACTTTGCTTCTGTTTGTTTTGCTGCTTGCTTTCCTGCTGTTATCTTCTGTTCATGTTGTAGTGAACAGGAGATAAGTAGTGAAGTGTTTCTTGTTATTGACAGCTAAAACCATTAACAAAGGGCAGAGCATACTTCATCTGGAATTAGCTAGAGACTCACATATAGTGTATGTATACACCCAATTTCTTACATAGACACATACACATGAGCACTTTAAAGAACACACAGAGGACACACATGCTTTAAATTTCACACATGTACTGTATGTATACAAAGAAAGACTGCTAAAAAGTAAATGTGAGTAATCCCATTCAGATTCAGAAACTGCACAGCAATAATATGCTTGCACACACATACACATTTTTTCATTCCTTGCGGGGACTTTACTTTGACTGACATTCATTTCCTGGAGACTTATTTTTCCATGAACCATAGCCACTACTTGCCTAACTCTAACCTCACCTTAACCTTAAACCAAGTCGTCACCCTAAAACATAGCGGGGACCTGCATCTGGTCCCCATGAGCAATGCAAGTCCCCACAGTGTGTGGAATACCAGGCACACACATTCTCACACACACTTGGCTGGGCTTGACAAAAACAACAGACTTGGAAGCAATCTCCAAAGCCATTTTTCTCTGGCTTTTGAAGACATCTATAGAGAAACTGATCATTACTCATACGATGCAACAACAAACACTGCAAATGAAAGGCAGGAGAATACAAGGACACACAATAAAGGAAAAAGACAGGAGGAAAGACAGAGGGAACGAGAAAGCGAGAATAAAACAAACTCAGATATGGGATACCTGGCACCGACGATCAGTTCGTTCTGGCCAGGGTCAAAGGTCAGCTGCGAATAATCCACTGTGCCCTCTGCCTTGAACCTGAAGATCCACGGCTCCATCTCTGCCAACAACAACACAGGACACAATAACAGTGAGCCAATCAAAGTGGAGAGTTTATGACTGCAGATGATAGCTGTGCTGATGGATGAGCTGCGTTCAAAAAGCTGCTGTAAATTTCCTCAAGACAGTCAGAGTGGGCGCCTTACAGGCAAGGTTTATAATAGCAACATGGCAATAACTCTTTCTGCCAGTGCTGTTGTTAAGATTTTTATTAATGTATAAATGTATATGCCACATATAATGGGTGTAACAGTATACACAAATCACGGTTTGATACGTACCTCGGTTTTAAAGTCACGGTTCGGTTAATTTTTGGTACAGTAAGGAAGGTCATAAAATTGCTTGTCATTTATTATGAACTTTTGTAAACTACAATGCTTCAAAATGTTTTAAATCAAATTTTAAATGAAACAAAATATATACAAATAAAATATAATACTGCTACAAACTACTACTATAAAGTGCCCCAATAACCAGAGAAAAACATTTGTACTATGCTAGTTTTTTCATTGTAGCAGTGATATTTATGTTCACGTGGTGCTGTTTCAAATGACTTCACAGGTTTTATGTGTTGCCAAAAGCAAACCTGATCACCACCACTGTCAGTTCTTTGTCACCACTGAACAAATGTATTATGACTCTGAGGGGTATTCATTTTTTCTATATACCAATCAAAACTGTTAAGTAAATTAAGTGTTTTCATGAAGTCAGCTTTTATGGAAACAGACCTCATCTTCTCCAGCATGGTATAGTGAACATCCACACGCCTAAAGAGAGAGGACATGATATGCCAGACAGACACTGACATCTTATCCACAATATCTGTTGTAGTGGCGCCTGACCCATTAACCCTTGACCAATTGAATCACAGGCTGAGCACTGAAGATGGCCTGTCTACTGTGTGGTTACCCAGTAGGTTTAGTCGAGGGCGATCAATCTTTGATTCTGGTGGTGTTCTCCAATGTTCATCAAAATACACAGATTGGATTACACTTCAAAAACCTGTTAAGAATATGGGGCATTTTCCTCAGAATGAGTATGGTGCCAGAACTCCAGAAAGGCTGATTTTTAGCAATGGATACTAGAGTGATTTGAAGGCATTCATCCCTACATTTGAGAGCTATTTCCAGACTAAAAATTTCAAAGAGACTTTTTTAAATTTACCAGTTTTCCATCAGGGCTCAAACAGAAGGAGAGGACAGCATGGCTGTCCTCCTTGAAACACATTATCTGCTTCCTCAGGCACACCTGTCAGCGTTTCAAATGAAAGTGCGCTCTCCCTTGACTGCATCAAAAGCAACTACTTCAGGTTTCTGTGACAAACGTGGGATTTCTGAGTGATTCAAAATGCAGACAAACAGAGCAAGAAAATGGGAGCTTCCAAAGAACATCTGCTTCTTCCAGCTCACGTAATGGGACCACACACTAGCTTGCATGACAAAGCCATGTCATTTGCTGTGAAACAGTGTCTCTGTGTGCAAAGACATTTTCCCTTGTTCTCTTTCAAGTCCACAGTGAACCAGGTTGCACAACACCAGTACATTTTCATTAGCAGCTGAGAAATAAATATCAGGGAGATCATGACCAACTTCACCCCAAAGATTTAATTTTGCTTAATAGCTGCTGCTCTGCTTATTCTGGAGAGATACCGAAAGTTTTAGATGTGCCAATCCTTTGGCTCTATTGAGCATGTTTTTTACGGCATCGAGAGAATCACTGGCATACAAATGTAGCTACGACACCCCCAGGGGAAGATGGCACTTGACAAAGCCAGCTTCTCCCCATAAATCTCACTGACTCACCAGGGGAGGCTTGCTAACGGGTGATGGAGTGTGTGTGTGTCTGCATTTGTGTGTGTGTGTATGTGAAACAGAAAAAAGAAAGAAAAGAACATATTTGTTGGAGTGTGCAAAAAGGGGCAAAAGGTTACAACTGAACACAACAGCACTCAAAGGATTTATGGCCTTTTGTGATGAGACCAAGGATTATTCATAAACATTCATAACCAGCATGGATGGGCCCTCCCAAGGCTATGCTGCTAAATATACAGAGTTTCCCAAAGTCAAACTCATGCGGTTTAGCAGATCGGGGTTTGGGTTTACTACAGGGATGCCAAACTGTGGCACAATAGGAAAGACTTTTGAAACAGCACTGCCGGATACTGGGTTAGCTTCATCACAGACCCTAGTCACAGTGAGTGGAACTCTGATTGATCTTGTGATATTTGTTTGTGTTTGAATGGGTTGTACAAGTTAATTTTAGCAGCACCCAGGGATCTTTTTTATTATCCCATTCAGAGCAAACACATAAACCTTATTGTTAACCCAGTACATAAAAAAACAGTAGGACAACTCCCACCTACTACATAGCTTTTCATAAAACTAAATGGATCTTCCATGTCACTTTCTAGATTTCAGTTCTGCTTTGCATGTTACTGCGCTTGTGTCAGCTGTACTTTTAAGTGCATGTGATGATGTAATCACATCACAGCTACACTTGCACAGCAGCTGCCTGAGTCAGAGGATTACAGAGGTGTAACCACACACAGACGCACAAGCAAAATCTTATACATTCACGGGTTGGGATGAGAAGTAAGGGCAAAGCCAGGACTCAGAGCCAACATGAAACCAGCAAACACACATATATATTCACCCCCACCCCCGCTGCTCAGCCCCATCTCATAAACCCTGCCTCTCCCTCAGCCCATTCATCCATCCAACAGCCCATCACTCACATCCCATTTGTAATTCCCTTGCTCTGACACGGAGCAGTTGACACAAAGACAAAATGACAGGATATATAAATATTTACACCCAGCATCAGAGGCCACGCCAGTCTTCGGTCTGCCAGCGGTCAAAGTTAACTGCTCTACATATGTACAGAACTGCCAGGTTGGCAGCAATGGCAACATGTGGAACCATTTCAGAAACATGAATGGTTTTCCGGTGAGTGGTGTAAATAGAGTGTGGCAGCAGGCGCTCACATAAATGAAGAGCCATTTTCTTCTAAACGCGACCCTGTGGTAATGGGCAGCAGAAGAATGGCAACTAATTGGTCAAGTTGATATGAGGGAACACTTTGGAGCAAGTAGTCAAAAAACAAACACCTGCTCTATTTGAGAAACAAACTAAGGCAGTGGCAGTTAAGATCTTTGCGTGCGGTTCTGTGCTTTAAGGGATTTATTTCTTTTTTTATTGTTATTTCAAGCAAAAAAAACAAGGACATTTCCGTGGCTGTGCCATGGACCCAGGGCATTGAGTGAATCATGCAAAACAAACCACTGTAAGGCCACAAATAAGTGTGTGGTAAAATATTTAAAACTAATGTGTATTTAGGAGAAGAGTTGTTTGGCTGTTGGAGTGCGGGAGAAGAGACAAGCCTTTAACAACCAAATCTCTTCAGGCCACTTATGTGTATATAGGGAAATGACCTGTGGGACTTTTATTACAGCGGGTAAATGAAATATGGGCAGGCTCTTATTCGTTCCATTGGCAGCTTGTCATCGATTCAAATAAAACATGGTTAGAACATACCTGACCTTGAACATGAATAGAGCACAGTTAATGCTTTAGAATTTTGGGTCCAAACACCTTGGGAAGCGTTACATTTAAAAGAATCAGATCAGATCCAAATGACCAATTAAATGATCTTTTACACTAGCTCTAACCCTGTTGCATTTATGAATGCTACTGTATGAGGCCATTTGTTTATTTTCCTTCTTTCACCCCCCTCTTTCTAATGATGTGTTAGCCTTTCAGGGATGATAAAAGCTGAGCTTGGTCTGTGGTTGTAAAACAAGTCTGCTGGATCCACTCCTCAGAGACATGGCCCTCTGCTTGGCCTGTGAAGGCAATGTTTACACCACAGTTTATAACCTTTAAAAGCCTTCCCCAGCCTGCACCCAGGAGCACTTGTTAAATATAACGCATTATTAATATAGTATTTCTCAGGGGATATGAGCTACAATAACACTACAAATGCTCATTCAGTAGGCTTTTGTTAAAACATATCCTCATACTGAAATAAAGTCTTTCAACACCCTCCTAGAATAACTCTACACATTTACACTGAACATCTGCTCAAGCTATATTCAGACCTGTTTTTGTGAAAGTGTAGCATTTGAGTATACTTTTGAAATGTAGCTTCTGAACTGTTGTTTCTGAAACCCTACATTTCTGAAACCACCACACAAAGAGGTCTTTAGACTATAGAATTCTTACACCACAGCCAAGTCAGAAAACCACCATCCCCAGTGGGGTCAAAACCATAGGAGGCACACCCTTCCACAGTCAGGCCACAATCACACACACACAAAGAAAGAAATACCATCACTGGAACCTTGACCTTGGCTTCTAAAAATGGGTCACAACCACTCTTTAGGACTTATATTGTTTATCTCCTTTAACTTTTATACTGTTTATTTTGCATTGTTTGCACTGTTTGTTGCTTGTTAATACTGTTTATTTTGTTATACTACACAGCTGTTGGTTGGTTGGTATATTGGTTTACTGTTTACTTGCCCCTTGCACGGGGATATGTACATGCACATTGAGAGCCGATGTACCAGAGTCAAATTCCTTGTGTGTCCGACACACCTGGCCAATAAAGCAGATTCTGATTCTGATTCTCTTCTAGCTAAAGCCAGCAGCCAGCTTAGCATAAAAATCAACTAACTAATGAACATCTGATATTTTGATTGTTAATCTGTAATAACCAATGTTTAAAGCAACAAGTTGTGGTTTCAACGTGTTAATTTGTGAGGTTTTCATGTGCCTGTAGAAAAGTAGTTTTACCTTCAGCAAGGACCGGGCTAAATGTTTCCCCTTTTGTCCAGTATTTAAGCTGTTTTCTGTAGCTAGACCTGAGAAGAGTGTGGTGCTACAGTATGTTTAATGTGGTTGTAACCCCCCACCCCAAAAAAATAATTCACAAGAGATGATGTGATGATAACAGGTTTAAGGAGAAGTTTCTCTTGCCTCACATACAATTTGTTTATATGTGTATACGTCTCTGTGTGTACTTGTCTTCATATTGCACAATAACTCATAGCATTTTGTGTTTATTGCAAAAAGGCAAAGGCTTTAATTTGGCAGACTGAAAAAAAACACTATACAGTGTACAACTCTGAAAATTTAGATGTGTTTGGAGATCATCAGACCATGAAAGGAAAGTTATTAAAAAACTAAGTGAAAATATAAGTTTTCATGACACCTTGGGAACTAGCAGCTGCTCTGCAAATGTGCTGATTGGGACACAACAAAATAAACAATGTATAATGAACCACAAAACCTCTTTTCAAGCAGAATCTGCCGTCTTTTAGAGCTTTATGACCAGGGCAACAAAAGTGATCTGTAGACAGTCAACAAGCTTGTGGGCTTAGAAACTTGGGTTGAATTTTTAGGGGTCAACAGCCTTAACTAATTAATGGAATTTGTATGCAGATTCATGTTTCTGGATCAATTTTATTTTAAGAAGAATACTTCCACCATCTACAGTTTGAATGCAGACAGCTCACAGTCACTCACTTAGTGTCCTCTGATAAATGAATGCACAGTTGTTTTCACCTTTCAACTTTGATAAATGAGGAAAAGCTGATAATTATTGTATCTTTGCCATGTTCGGAATATGAACAACATTAAAAATCAGTTGTTCTTGCATTAAAAATTCAGGTTCAGTGTGACTTACACATCCAGAATATCATTATCTCAGATGATGAATTCACATTTATTAAACTGCTTAGAAAAAGATATAACTCCACAACGTGCCTGAGAATCATGAAGCTTTCTGTTGTATAAAGTAAAGCAAGGACAGTCTGTCTGGAATTACTTGTTTGTGCACCCATGGGGATTTGCAAAAACCTCTTATAGCTAAATTGAAGTTGTCTCTATTTTGTCTGAGAGGTGCCCATAATATCAGATTGAAAACCCCTATTCTAGGAAATGAACTATTTCATCATGTATTGGTATAGTAGAAACAGGTGGAAATAAGTATCAAGTCAGGCCAGTTATTAGCTCACCACTGAACATACCCTCAAGATTCAGGTCGACCCTTTTTTATTAATGCTCCTATATTTCAACCAAAGTATTAAGACACTGGAACTTAATGGGCCACTGTGGTACATTAGAGAACACAAATGCATTGACCGCAGCTGACCCACTAGTTGGCGTGTGAGCCTCCTCAAGCAAAAAACACAAGCTTAGTCATCATCACTGTTCTCAAAATGTGAGGAGGGAAACATGCCACCTCAGCTCACAATGAAGTAACAGACTGGGAAGAAAAAAAACTAAGGGGGTTGTAGAGAAAGAGTGATTGTGTCTTAGCGAGACACTTATTCGAATAAGAGTCTCTTCAGTGATCTTGGTTGGCCCGTCAGTTTCTATTTGTAGACAGAATGCTATGTCATTATCTGACTAGGACTCAAAATAGCTCAAAGACATTTTTCTACTTTGCAGTGGGTAGACAGAAAGGCATTGATTGTTATTGATACTTTGTTCCAATTAAGATGCACAGCATTTTATTACAGTTTTGTTGTTCAACAGCCATGCAGGAGAAGGAGCAAGAACAATGAAGTCTGATGCAGGGTTTCCTGTGCTTTAAAAATGACAGATCCTTGTAGTAAAGGCTTATGAGAAAGGTTGTGTCTGCCTTGTGTCTCAAAGGAAAGAGCAAAGAGGAGAAAAGCAAAGGTAGTCATTTTTTTCTGAACAAGCTAAAATATTTGTATAAAGTATTCTGAGAAACACAAGTAACTAGAAAAGTCCCACTTCTCTTATTTGCTGTTACTCTTGTCAATCTTTCTATTCTTACACAGAATATGTACAACTTACAGTGATAACCACTCAGTTTTACCACTGAGAGTAATTTTTGTTAAACAGTGGCTTTTTGATAAGGCAAACAAAGGCGGGCATCTCATTTCTAGTCGATAACAGTTTTGCCAGTAAGCTTGAAAACACCATTTCTGCCTCACTTTTAACATTTCCAGCAGTCTTGTTTAAACTGAAAGCCTTCTTAAATTAGTCTTAAATAACTACAGACCTCATAATTCTGCTAAAAAAACTGAGGCTTAAGCTTCATGTTCCAGGCAGTGGAGATAAGGAGCAGTTACTGCTGCAGTTAGAAATGGATTTCTTAACATGCAGAATGGAGAAATCCAAAGCATGACAAGCCTCTCTTGCGTGCTTACACTTTCATGCCTTGAGTGATATTTTTACTGCATATTACCTTTGTCATTTTCTGCAAAATAAATTTATGACATTTCAATTTCATTTGGAAGACAACAACAATCCAAACACTCCAGTCTATAACCATTGCTAGGGGAAATTACATTGATTATATGGTGAGAAAAACAACTACCTGCTAACTAGCTACCCTAAAAAAACATCAGCATTCCTTACATCTGTTTTGTCTGTGTTATGTGTGAAGGGGGGGAGGTGTATCAATTTTCTTACAAATTGGTGAAATGTTCTTACAATAAATGTGGTTGTCTCCTAGAAACACTGAACAGTGATTACAAAATATTCCAAAACTGCCCATTTCACCTTTGTGCACCCATGGGAATTTGCAAAACCCCCTTTCCTTTAACCTTAGGAAGAGTGAGGGTAGGCATGAATCAGTAGAGAGATAATAATAACTACATACTGAATAAAGAAAAGTTCACATACAGTAACTATGGACACAAATAAAACTTTTCATTATTTCTAATATGAAAACAGCAAATTGGATAATAGGACCCAAGTGCAGACACAAGAGAGTCTGACAGGCTGACAGGTGGCTGGATGGTCGGCGGGGGCTAGAGAACAGAGGTCCCAGAGACCTTGGACGGACAGCTCAGCTGGCAAACCAAAGAGCAGAGGACCCTGGGCAGATGGCCTTGAGGCTGGAGAGCTGAGGAGCAGAAGAGTTCAGGAGGCCAGTAATGTGACCAGACTGGAAGAAGAGGGTGCTCAGAAGGGTGAGGGAGGCAAGCTGGAGATTGAAGACAAAGGTGGAGCCCCTCTGGAATGCGAGCCACAAGCTGAAGCCGAGGCCAGTCCGATCCAATTCTAAAGCTGAGGGTGCATCAACCAGGGAAGCCAACCCGTAAAAAGGCCCAAGAAAAATCGAGGCAGCAGTGACAATGGCTGACCCACAAACAGACTCAGAAGCAGACTTAAAAAAAGACAAAGCATCGGCAACAATAACCAACACAGGGATTGACCTAACACCAGTCAAGGTGCTCTGTGATGCCTAGTGGATAAGACGATGTAGATGCTGGGTATCTGAGGCTCTGTGTGGCCAGGCTACTGAAGCTTGGGAGCATTGGAAGGTTGATGTTCAGGGCCACTGGGAAGCTGTAATGTGGGTGCACTGGACACCTGGAGCATGGGTATGTTGGGGATCTGGAGCTTGTAAATGTTGAGGACCTAGAGCTGGTGGAATGCCAGAAGTCTGTGAAGACCAATGTCTATGGGAGCGATGCTTCTTCCTAGGGGCTCAAATTCTTTAAACCCTCCCCCCCAAAAAAAAGCAATGTGGGTCCCTACAAAAGGGGGCTGCTGGAGATCATCAGGACTAGAAGCAGACAAGGGAAGGTTGGTAGCTGGTGAGGCAGGCCAGGTGCTAGGTAAAGGTGAGGCTGGCTAGGGGCTATCAACCCTACTGCTAGCCACAGAAGGAGCAGGCTGGAAAGCAGACTCTGGAACATACTGGTAGCAAACCAAGTGGGATACTGGCTGATGGCTAGGTAATTCCAGGGCAGACAGCAACCAAACTACCATAGTTTTAACTAAGAGGTCCAATCCATGATTTACACAGGGCTGGAATACACAGTGCAGAGACAGGGAGTGCGGCACTTTGTAAGTCATATCAATGATCTCATAATGATGTGTGTGTTTTTATGTGATTTTGTTTGAACACCTACCTGAGTGTGGAATGAGTGGATGCTCTGTCTTGTGACAGGGTGATTCAGGCAGCAGCACCGGTCCTCTCCTACTGGCCACACCTCCGGGCTGCAGAACCAGCATGCACTGCAGCAGCAGCAGTGCATGCTGGATAACAGGGTGTCCCATGGGGCCCTGGGGCTTGGCTCACTTCTCCTCAGGCCTTAGGGGCCAAGACTATTGGAGAAACACACCTGGAGAGACAGGAAGTGAAAGAGACAGATTTAGGTTTAAACAACAATTTATTTCACATTTGATTTAAGCACTGAAAAACTTGATAGAATATAGCACCTCTGTGTCCCTAAATCACCAAGGATACAAGGAGAGGAAAAGCAACAAAAATAAATTCTTACAAAAAGGGAAACAAGGGAGTGAGGTGCAAAGTAAAAAGATTATGACAGACTGGGAGGGGAAATGGTGGGAGTTCTGCAGAGTAGCTGCAGTAGGTGTGGTCCATGGTGGCTCCAGAGACTTCACACCTCTCACCTCTGGCTCTACATTGCCTCATATACCCATTGTCTCTGCGTATGTATCCTCTAAAATCTGAGATGATGTCTTTATGTGTGTCTTTGAAGAAGAGGAGCTTTCACAAGAGGGCAGTTCTTGTTGCATGTGTGCTGTGTGAACTTTTCATTACTGAGAGACTGTTTTTATATGTGACTAACATACTGTATGTATGAATCTGCACAGCACCCCTTATAGGTCAGTTAAATCCTATAGCTGCTGAAAATCTGAAGTGCATTTATTCACAATCGAGCCCTGAAATTACTGGATATGATTATCATTTGCTTATGGCAGATTCAGTCTTTTGCTGGAAGCAAACAAAGCAAACTTAATTGTTCATGATTTTTTCTCTGTGGGGGTGAATTGATGAGCAGTCTAGACCATAAATATCATTACTTTTTAATCACTTGTCTGATGCTGTTACCAGGAATGATTCATCCTGTGTGCAACAGAAGACTAAGCCTGCCTGACTGTATCCCACATTATGAGCAGCATGTGTGGTAGAGTGAGTAGAGATACTGAAGCTCTTGGATTTAAAGCAGCAGTAATGACAAGTGTTTTCACTTAAGAATGTTGTCTGTTGTGCATTCTTATCATTTTTTCTACTGCAATGTGAAATGGGATTTTCATCTGTTGTCCAGTCAGTAGAAATAGTTGTGCTTTGTAGAGCAAGAACAGAACAATCCTCCTTCTGTGACAGAGTTGATTTAGTGTGAGTCCATTAATTCTGCATTTGTTGTGGGAAGACAGCAAAATATGGAAAACTGGCATGCTGTAAAAAAGGAAAAAAGACAAAACTAAGCTAAGACTGAAAGAAGAAGTGAACATTTACTCTCCTCAGACAAACCTCATTTCCATTTCTCTATAAGTATGAATCTGCTTTGTGTTGGAGTATACAAGTACTTTATACTTGGAGTGGTTCTTAGGTAGAATGTAAGGCACCTCTTTAATCCAGCTTTCAAATGAAAATCCAAATGTTGTTATTAAGTCCACTGTATAAATGCACAGGCAGTAAGGATGCATTGTTTGCCTTCAACGGCAGTGTGGTGTAAAATGCATGGCATCTACAACAGGGAAAAGCAAGTGACAGCCAGGGCCACTTTCCTCTCTCTCTTCCTTTTCCCTTTCGTCTTGACAGTTCATACAACAGCTTCTGTACTCTTTCACAGTTTCGCCTTAGTCATCCTGTCATTTAACATCTTGTTTGCTAGTTTTTTGACAGTTTGTAACTGTTTTATCTCCACCAAAAAGCCATCCTACCTGCTGAGTGAGTGAATCACTTTCCCCAGGCACTGTGTTAGCTAGGTCATTCTTCAGGTATACCAACATTTATGCCTGCATTTACTTAAAATATTTCACAATCTCCTGGAATGAGGAAATTAGATTATTAAGTTTTTATGTGTCTGTGGTCAGAGAATTGAAGGATCTGAGGTGTTAACACAATTTAGTCAACACGCACATTTCCATTTACACCCACACATGCAGGCAGAGGGTCGGCTGACAGGAGCAGGAGCGAGGTCAGTGAGCTGAGCGCTCACTGCTGATCATACACACAAGCATATACATTTAGAACAAAAAAGTTCAGTAGGTTTCAAGCTACTATGTTATTATTTGTTAATAGTGCCTCATACTTTCTCCTTGTTTTAATAATTCATGGGGAGCTCAAGAGATTTTGAAAATCTAGCTGAATTCAATTCATAAGTTGAATTCAATGTTAAAGGTGCCCTCTGGAGTTTTCAAGTAAACAAACAAACAAACATTATAGCTACTTTCAGTATCTCTCCCAAGAACATAGTCTGTATTCTGGAGATGTAACATACATTTTGAATGCATTTTCTTCATCATAAAACACTTGCAAAGCCAGTTTGCTGCAATATTTTACATTGTGGAATGTTTTCCTCACTGTTAGCATGCTGTCTTCTTATTTGCCTTTGTTGGTGCATCACTAGGCTTGTTTGTGCATTTCCATAATCAATCATCTATCACTGGAAAAAAAGTGAAAATGGCATTATGTAAATGTATGCATGTCCTTGTGTGTGATACAAACAAAACAGGGACTCACTCATGAAAACATTGCTCTAAAGGTGGTCAAAAACAAAACAGGGTACCTTAACATTAACAAAGAATAAATACATTTTTTAATAGTGCAAAAACAAGAGCATAAAACAATAAAAAGCAATGAATAATTGAATTTAATTTGGAAGCAACAGTAAAAAATAAATTACTTTTCAAGTCAAATTGCAAGTGAACTGTTTTTGCGTTTGCCTTACTTTCTATAGCTGGTTTGTATTTGCATGAAAATGAACCCTAATGAAAACCTGTCATTACATAGTGAAACAGTTATGACCTCTAAGATCTCTTTTTTTAATGCATGTCATTTAAAATATCCACAGATAGCTTGATTTATGCCTACATATGTTTCTGCATAATGCCTTTTGATAGAAGTAAGAGTACAGACAGCCATGACAGCTTGATTTAAAACTGAATCATGTGAACTGTTGTTTCATTCCCCTGAAGTGATCTCTCTGGTGGATCCTATTTTCTTTTTGACTCAGCACAAGCAAGCAACTGGTCCTGTGGGAGAAAACTGGAGGAGCTTTCTGAGCCGTTTGGTGGTCTAAACTCTAAATCATTTCCAGGGCATCAAAAGAAGACTCCACCAAATCCACCTCCTCCTCCTCATCTTGCTCCCACTCCTACCTCTTTCTCTGTCTCTCACTCATGCCTCTACACATATGGATACACAGGAAGACTCATTCAGCAGCAGAACATTTAGAGCACAGACACACTGATATCACTTTGGGACTAGGTGGTGGGGTAACACAGAGGGAGCCCGAGCCACACCAAAACTAAACATGGGGTAAACCATGCTGCCATTCACCATGCATAGAGCAGATACAGTATTATGGTAGCCTACAATACATACATTCATATTCCAGCCAGGATAATGTTATGCTCTGATGTAGTTTTTCTAATTTTGAATCACATAGATCATCATCAGTATACCTTACTATATTACCCAATTTATTACACTTCATGATTTTGATAATCAAAAAAACAATTAATAACAAATCCAGTCCTGTGTAAAATTTGTAAAAACTTTAGTTCATAGGTGCATTTTGCATTCTGTCATTGCTCAAGTGCATTTACAATACGGGGTACATTTTACGTAGGTAGTAAAATCTGTGTGAATATGGAGCAGAGTGGAAAAATATGCAAAGTATTCTGCATTATCATGTGGAGATATTTGTTTTCACTGTACAATATTAATGTTATTTGACAAGGTGGACTGTGCAGGTAAGAAACTGGTGGGATATTTGACTTCACAGTAACTGAAATTTATATTATTAATGTTTTTATTGACAAATCTAATTTTCTAAAATCTTGTGCACTTGGTCTGATGTCCTCACAAAACCTTCAGTTAAAGACATATCATTTATCAAACTCCCAAAAAGCAGAAGAATAATTATGCAGATTAAAAAGTTGATTTGCAAAAGAGCATCACAGCTGTTTGCTTCATATTTTTGAAAGTTACATAATGACATTCAGATGCATGCACTTTACAGGATTACACACGTTCTTAAGCTATCGAGCACACACACTCCTCTGGCTCTTTGAGGTGCCACCTAACTAATCACCTGAAGTCTTCCTGCAGAAATGAGTGGAGTGAGGATCATGTTGACACCACTACTCACTTTGTCTGAGGGGACTTCATAATGGTTGAATTACACTATTCATAATGAACAGGCTCACGGCTTTGTATTCATCACACTGATACATACATGCACATACGCATGCTCACATACAAACACCTTTGCCAAATGTGACTGGTGCAGCGATGAGTCAATTGTCCAAACGAAGTCAGGAGAGTCACACCTCAGTGCTGACAGATGTCTCCCTCTTTCACTGCTCTCTCTCTGACCAGACAGTAAACACAGCAGTAAAATCAACCCAGACTCTGTTTAAAACTCGTGCACACATAGGCACTACTGAGCCACTTTATATACTGTAGCCTAGCTGCATGTTTGTGAGGCAGAACACTTGGATGCGACTGAGGGGGTGTTTGCATGTTTATCTCTCTATCTGTCATACTGGTTACTGCCAGTTTGTGTTTGTTGTTCTGTGTTTCTGTCTGCCAGTTCTGTGATTTTGGCATCTTGAACTTACGAGATGTTTGTTAATTTACTTTGCTGTTGGTTTGTCTGAAAAGGACGCTTGACTATGTGATTTTCTGAATGTCAAATTGACTCATTAGCTTGTGATTGGTAAATTAATAAAACAATGAATGATTCAGCAAATGATAATTTCAACTTACCAACTGATTCACTGACAGAGACCAACTAACTACAGTAGATGGTCAACTAAGTGTCAGGTTACCAGACTGAGTGACAAGAGACCTGGCAAAACTGCTCTGTGATGCATAGTGACCAGGTGACAGACTATTCTAGTTTTCTGATTGTCATGTGGATTTTTTTTTACTGCCATCTGTTGATTTTTAAAACTTCTATCATCATCTCTCTTTCACTCTGCTCTCTTTCTACCTTTCACTGACCATTTTCCTCACGCTTTCAGTCCAGGGCAAATTAATTCTGTGCAAAGAACTGTTTGTGTCTCCCCCAGAGTGGGATTGTTAAGCAAACTTGGATCAGACAGCTTGTTTGTTTCCAAACCTTTGGTGCACAGTGTGGCT